GCCAACGGGAGCTGGCACGCCACCGCGTCCCCGCACCCGCAGGGACATCTGTCCCCGCGCTCGGGCCGCCTGCCGCTCCGGCGCTTCTCCTCCTCGCCGCCTGCCCGGATGCCCCGCGGCTGCGTGCGAGGAACAGGCAGAGCTGGAGCCCCCAACCACGTTGGCAGCTGGGGAAAAACCCAGGTCACGCTGCTGGTTTTTGGCTGCGGCTTCGTTTTATTGCTTCTACACCCCAAAAAGAGCAGGGTTTTCTCGTCCCCGCGGAGCAGGGAAATGCTCGGCCCTCGGCCACTGCTGCAACCGGGATGTCTCAGTGACGCTTTAACTGCGCCCTGGCCCTGCCTCGGAGCACGTCTGCCCTGCGACGTGGAGATGAAGCATCGGGCAGCCTGCAAAGACGCGGAGCAGGCAGCCTGTGGCGAGCGCGTGGAGCGAGCCAGGCGCACCCGGCGCCCCCGCTCGGAGCGCACGGAACGCCGGGCTCTCGCGGGAAGGGCTGGAAATTGAACTTGCTGGGAGGGAATTAAATAGCTGATGATTTCCACCTAAAAATAGAGCAAAGCCACAGCTCACATCGCCCTGTAAGGGGAGCTGGTAAAACCATGATACTTAAATTACATCCCTTGCCTCTCACAAGCCCCGACGTCACTGCTGCCGTCAACCTGCAACCCTGGCGTGGGGTCCCAGCTTTGCCTAAAACACTTTCTGCTTTAGCATCACGTGCCATCACAGCCAACATCTTGTCACTGGGTGGCACGTAACGTCGCTGGACCCATGTTGCTGCTGTGCAGCGGTCACTAGCCATTAAGTCCGTTGCTAGTTGCTGAAGGCAGCGCCTTTATTTTCTTTACGTGTGACGCTGCCGTCCCCCTTGCCGACCGCCCTTGCTCAAACAGCCACCCTGTTTTTCATCTCTTTTGCACAGCAAACAAGCCGGCGGCGCACGGAGTGGTTCCTGTGATGGGGGCCCCACGGCTGCCTGGTCCGGCCGCCGGCTCCGCGTGTCCAACCTCGACGCCCACGAGCACACGGGGAGCGACCTGCTCGGACCCTGGCGCGGCAGATAAGAGCCGCGGCGACAGCGCCGAGCTCACCGCGAATGAGTCCAAAAGCAGATGCTGTTGGGCACCAGCCCGCGACGGGCGTTGCAGGGACCTGCACACCAGCTTTGCACGAGCTGCTGGAAGCAGCATGAACGGGAGCAAGAGCTGGTGGGACCCCTGGCACAGCCGCAAGGTGCCAGCCCATCGGGAGCCTCCGGCATCGCGCTGCTTCCCTGGCTGTGCAGCAGGGAAGGGCCCTTCATCCAGGGCAAAGGACTGGGAGCTCCTGCACCCGGGAAGGACTGAGCGTGTTTCAAGCACAGCCGGGAGTCCAGACTCGGCTCCCGGAGCCCCTCCGGTGCAGAGCCCGGGGCAGCTGCTCCCTTTGCAGTTTGCCCCTTCTGCCGCCTTCCCCGTAAGCCGGGGCCGGAAGGGCCCAGCGAGCTCGGCAAACCACCCGGCCGTCCCCACATCCTTCCCCTGCACGTCTGAAAACACACACTGCCTCAGTCCCGAAGAGCAAAGAAACGGGGACGACGCGGCCCCCGGGCAGCCGGACCATGCACGGAGCAGGGAGCAGAAACGCTTCCGAGCAGGGAGCGCGGAGGCTGCGAAGGGCACGGAGGCTGCGAAGGGCACGTAGCCTCCATTCATCTCTGAAGCACTCAAAAGAAATTAGCAGCTCAGCTGGGACTCTTTTATGGAGCAGTATTAATTTCCTCGCTGCTATAGAGAGGAAACAAGACAAAAGGCATTAAATGGGCTTGCCCAAGCAGGCGCCAGAACTCACAGCTCCTAATTTCCAGCCCTGCGTTTAGATAAGGCTTCTCCTTCAAACTAGAGGAAAAGCCAAGGACACACTCAAAGAAAAACAGATATTAACCAAGATCTGATTGCCCCCTGGAGAAGGAGAAGCCCTCTGCGCCCTGGACTGCCGCCCAACAGCCCAGGAACGTCACACAGCAGGAAAAATGGGGGGCAACTGGAGGTGCTGCTGGAGGAGATGTTGCTCCTGCACCTTCTTGCAGGGTCTGGCGAGCTGCAGCGTAGCAGGACCCTGGGGTGCCAATGCTCCCACTTGACAACAGGATGTGAAACCACCACGTCCTCCTTTGGATGAGC